TAAGTTAGGTTATCTACTTTGATTTCTTTTGGTTACATTTAACCATCATCGATTTAAGATGGTTGATGTGACACGTGCATCACTTAATAGGGTCCGAAAAGTGCAACTCAACTCGCATGAGAGGGCCTTAAAATCTCAGTACGTTTGAGGACCCTTCAATGGTGGCCAATTCGCAGTGAAGGTAGCCGAATTGCTGCCTCGAGGTAGCGTAGTTACTGTTCTGAAAGTCCTCCAAGTCGATGCAGTGGGCCCTCAGAAAAGTTTGACCACCCCCCTTAGTCAAAGCATTTCATCAACTGACCCTGTCACTACACAGTCTAACAGGTTTGCTCTCAAATAAGGCACACCCCTCCCCCTGTGCTCTATTCGAACATATGTGGAAATGCAGCGAAATTCAACAAAAAAAAATGAAAAGAGTCTCACAACAAGGTGCAGTGCAAAGCGTCGTAGTAGCTCAGGGCATAAGGTACTACGAGCCATCGTACCACACAGTCAATGCTCAATGACTCACAATGCAAGGCACAACAACCCAACGTTGTACGACAAGGTTCATATTGAAGTACGATTCGAACACAACAACACACATCAATGACTCAATAAAATACCACAGCGAGTCTTGTGCACATAGTAGTGTGTAGGACAATAGCACACAATAAAATACACAAAAGATGCACAATAACAATGATAAAATACTCCGCCAACTCCAACAATGTGTGTCGGTGCCACTTGTGCAAACCACCGTCAAGTTCAGGTAAGTTCTCCACTTGACCTACCCTAATACTATGATTTATGCCCAAACAAAATCCGCAATACTAAAAAAATGTCGGGTCATGTTATCATAACACTGATCCGTTCTTGAAAACTCTGTGCCAGCAAGCAACTGCTCTTCTGCTCCACACATAACCTTTGTTCTTGTTGAACCGTTTTAGGACACCACTGTTATCTCCTAACAGATGTGTCGTCCCAACCAAGCTCCCCTCCTGACCGTGTCGAAGAATCGCTAGGCCTTGCTCTCACAACAGCAATCGGGCAATGTAAGTAGGCCCCTCTCTCTCAATTTTATCTTGTTGCTGAGTTTAGCCGCTGCTTGCTACACTACTGTGCCCATTCTGGGTCAAATGAGAATGAACATCAGTTGGAGTGGCCAATACTAACAGGTGGATTACCTAGGGGTGTGGTTTTGCAGTTACGGTTGTCCGAGCTGCATCCTTCATATGTGGGAGGTCATTCGACAAGCCAGGAGGCAATGCTCCAATATGGCTCGTGCATGTGGGCATAACTGACCTCATTATCCGCCCTTTCTGCTCCACATTCATCCCCGAGACGATCCAATATGGTGTGGGTTAAGTACTGGTAGACTTTAAAACCCTTGCAATATAGGCATCACGTGGGCATATTTTGACTATTTAAAGTTACCAAAGCTGCTTGCAGTGAAGAAAGATTCCCTTGCCATCTGGTTGTAACTATTTGGTTAGAGGATTTGGGCTTATTGTAGATCCAATATATTCCTTGTTTGATTGTATGTTGCCATAACCATAATGATGTTTTCCATTTCCTTCTGGCCACACCTTTTCACTAAGGTGGAAAGGTAGAAAATAAATTGAGGTGCTTTACATACACAACTTGTGCAGTCCTCGTCCTCCGATACCCACACCCTCACCAACTGTGAGTGGCTTACTGTCTCATACAGTTCAATATTTTTCAGATAGACATGTTTATGACATCATGATAGAAGTCTTGAAGACGGGACAATATATTCACTACTTCGTCCGACTTCCTCATTATATGATGAATGAAGAAGTTGAGTTTGAAGAGCACACGCCACCGACATACCTGTCGAGGTCTAACTTTCATAAGGAAAATCATAAGGACAAGGTTGCCTGTAAGTATGATAAAGTGTTGCACATGCAGATAGTGACGTCAGTGCCACGTGACATAAACTAAAGCAAGAACCTCACGTTCATCGATCATTTGGTTTACCTTGCCTGGGCTCAACTAACAGGAATACAAGGTGATAGGACACTCCCCAGTATGAGCCTCAACAATTCAATCCTGAGTGACTGACAAATAATATGTGATAAGTGAACTGTCAATGGAGGGAAGCAGTGGATAAGAAGGCATAAATTGGGAAGAAATGTCAGTAGAGGGAAAAACAAAATGAGAAACACATAAGCAAGGACAACCTCTACAACAAAATTTGACACATCGATCGTAATGTAAAAAGAAAAACTTAAATTGAGGAGAAGAAGAACGAACGTAGAAGTTATTATCTTCTTAAGGGTGCATAAATCATTCTCACGGAAGAAAGGCGCATTCTTCCAATGAGAGTCGAAGTGAGGGCGTGAGAGTACCTATCATATCCCTCATTAAACGAACAATAGTCTCCCATAAACGTAGGACACTACAAAGTTGCTCGATGATCATGAGGGAAAGCCACTTTGTTCTAACAATAATTTTTATGTCATGTACGTAGAGACACCGTTTGGAAACATATTGTCCTAAAAAATCTTCAACAGATAGAGCTTGATGTAAAAGTTATGGGTATGCAAGCACTATAGGATATGTTAAAGGTGCAAAAAATATTCCTTTGAAGTCCAACTATAGATCGAGATGCCCTCTAGGTATACTCGGACACAAAGTTCTGCGAGGTTCTTAAAAATGTGGCTTATCGTTGCTTGGAAGGTGACAAGTGCATTGGTGAGGCCGAATGCCATCATTGTAAACACATAATGACAAAAGCGAGAACGGAATACGATCTTTTATTGGTCCTTTCTAGTTATATGGATCTTATGTGGGTTTTTTTTTTACAAGGGAATAAATTTACGCTCCAAAATTCATAGCTTCCCATGTGAATTTTGTCCTCCAAAATGCCATGTCATGGATGGATAAGATTTAAGTATGGGAGTATACAATTGCACCCCAAATGGTATTTCACATCAGGGTTGTCAGGCGGGGTCCCCTGGGGGCAAAGCTGGGGTAGGGGTTTGACCCCCGGACCCCCGCCTGCGGGGTGCCCCACCCCCGCCCACCCCAAAACACCCCCGTCGGTGCCCCGACCCCCGCACCCCCGTCGGGCCCCGC